TCAATATATATATGTATAGGTGTATAAATTTATATTTATTGTGAGTAACTTCCCAAGTTCACGAACGGTTTGGAATGAAAATATATGTTTTACTACATGTACCAATGAATGGTATATATAAAACCGATGTCACATGACACAACACTGATTCCAGATCTGACCTCTCATACATCTGAGCTCCCATAACCCACCATAACCCTTCACATACATATATACACAGGCAAATACGCAAAGACCTTTATATATCTACATACACAAGAAAATGCAAAAGGATGGTGCCTAAGTCACCCTTTACATACCTAAATACATACGTCTACAGAAGATTGCACAAAACGTTACCCAAGTCGCTTTACAAGTCACCATTTACTTAGCTACACACACAGGCATATACACAACGATGCTACCTCAGTCACCCCTTCACATACCTATATACACAGGAAAATGTACAAAGATGTTACTTCAGTCACTCTGTACATTTTACCCTTTTCCGACAAAGGCACAAAGATAATACCTAGGACACCCTCTATATATCTACATACTCGGACGAACGCCCAAAGCCGTTGCTTGAAACACACACACCTGCTTTCAACTCCACCACCAAATCAAACGTAGGCGATTCTACGCGGCAGGTCTTGTGTACACCCTTTGGCAGTATCACATCAGCCGTACGGCCCAACAGGCCACTGAGTTGTGTATTGGCTTGCAGTTTGCGGAAGTCGCCATGTGCGCTCGCAATCATCCTGACACCCCTTTGCTTGACTGTGCGGGTCGCATGGACCTGTGAAGGGACAGACACGTGTAGTCGGTTAGACTGCCGTGTGTGTGTTTTGTCGTGCGTGTAGGGTGAATGTTCGTCCGCCCCTCACACTTTTGGTAGGTAAGTTGCTGCATATGAAAGGTACAGATTATACTCCTCACACTTTTTGTAGGTAATGAGAGGTACATTTATATTCCTCACACTTTTGGTAGGTAAGTTGCTGCATATGAAAGGTACAGATTATAGCCGTGAGAATGAACACTATTTGCCTGAACCTGCGTGGCGCTATCAACCTCGATGACGGAGAGGTTCCCTTTCAACCCGAATAGGGCAATAGTATATAGTAGAGCGTAATGTATAGGGTTGCAGGAGGGGGATTGCTATGGATATGGAATGCACATGCGAATCTTGTATGTAAACGTTTGATTGCTTGAGTTATCGGGCTGTTTTGGCCTGAGAGATAGAATAAGTACCAGTTGATGACTAGAACGACTACAATACTGACACGCTTGACGTAGAAGTAGATAGATTTAAACACATCACATGCCCACACCTCATTGGCCCGACCAATCTCGTCGATAACTATGACCTGTGGGGTGTGGTTTTGGACCACCTCGATCAGCAATCTGTCCTGACTGTGTGCTCCAGGTACCTGGTGTGGGAATTTAGGGTTTGGGGGTTTCTATAGTAAGTTTTAGGGGTTTTTTTTACAGGGTTTGGGATTTTGGGGGTTTCTATAGTAAGTGTACATTCTGACTACTCCCCCAGCGGAATGTGTGTTCACGGGATCCGAAGAAAAACAAACGAGTACCCGCGTGTGGGCTTAGACTACTCACTAAGTGTAAGAGTGATATGAAAGGTAGGTACGTATCATACATCAGTGAGATGTGTGGAAGATACATACCCCCCGAACCATCATGCGGCCGAGATCAAACACGAACAAGCATACAACAAACAAGCCTAGCTGCACAAATACCAGCGCAAAAGCCTAACTGTACAATAACCAACTTTAAAGCCTAACTGTACAACTGCCAAGGTAAGGTAAAGGCCACTTGACATTGGGACGGAGTGTTCATTGAATGCATGTGTGAGGTAAAGACCACTTGACATTGAGACGGAGTGTTCATTGAATGCATGTGTGAGGTAGAGACCACTTGACATTGAGACGGAGTATTCATGGAATGCATGTGTGAAGTAAAGACCACTTGACATTGAGATGGAGTGTTCATTGAATGCATGTGTGAAGTAAAGACCACTTGACATTGAGATGGAGTGTTCATTGAATGCATGTTAGGGGCGTATGCACGAGCGGTAGTAGAACAATCAGTCGACGCACGAGTAGGAAACAATACCATGCATCTACAGCTATTAGTACGCCAGATATGCGACAGAGACACCCGGGATGGGGAGTGGTTCAGTACACACACATACACACACAGATAGAGAGAGAGACAGAGGATCGGGACTATGGGTTGTACAGATGTTCCGTGAGATGGAATATATATATATATATATATATATTACATATGTTTAAGTAGATGTCGGACTGTATAAACGCGCTACATGCACACACCATGTTTGGTGCGAGTGCAGAACTCTGAGGAAGAGCAGAAGCGTATCGTGGATTCTGAAGACACTTATAACTTACACAGACTTTCAGGAATACTTTCAACACACCTGATAGCGCAGCCTTTAAACGCACACACCGACCGCACCTACATTCGTCTATACAAAACGTACCTGTACGCGTCTGGCGTGGCCTATACATTTGTGGGGCACATCGCCGTCTCCTGCGATCTCATTGGATGTGTCTACCACCAATACATTGGACTGCTGTGAGAGTATCCGGGCTATCTCACGGATCAGCGCCGTTTTGCCGCTACCCGGTGCTGTGGCAGTAACAGTGAGAGTGCACATAGATTCACAATGGGGTAGTGCCAGTAGTATACTCTACCGGTGAAAGTGTACACAGATTCACAATGGGGTAGTGCCAGTAGTATACTCTACCGGTGAAAGTGTACACAGATTCACAATGGGGTAGTGCCAGTAGTATACTCTACCGGTGAAAGTGTACACAGATTCACAATGGGGTAGTGCCAGTAGTATACGCTTCGTCAATCGGATTGTATGATACTATTCTGACATACATAGGAAAGCCCTATGGGTGCAATCGAGCATGCGCAGCCTTCCTGATTACTTGATCATATAGACATAGTATGGCACCCGCCCCTTCCTTTCTGATAAGTATATGGTAAACCACGCTCAATAAACATGAGAATTGTCATATAGAATTCAGAATAGATGTACACCTCTCTATATCAGTCACAACAGCGTAAACGCGCTCAACGCCAAAAGATAGACTACCTTTGGATGTGGCACTGCAGCTTCACATGCACACGTCATCTGCACAAATTTGAAGTGTATGACCAAATAAATTTCAGGCATAACATGAGCTTTATGCATTCAAAAACGTATAATAATTTTCATAAACAGACAACAAATACATTTGCTTGCAAATTGACCAAACAAGGTGTGCTAAAACAAAAAAATCCACCAATACGACTTGTGTTTGAACAAGTGGAAATGTATAAACATACAAAAACATACATCTTTAAGCATATAATATATATATATATATAAACACACACACACACACACACACATATATATATATATAATAATACCGGTACACACAGTCGTTACATACAAACCCACTGTCAACCCACATACCTCCCAGCACAAGTATACTCTTGTTCCCATTCAGCAGCACATCACTGAGCGAGTGCGCACCCCCCGTTATTGTCTTGCCCACGCGACAGGTGAGACCCAAAATCTCGCCCGATCGTGACCTTAACGCACTAATCCGGTGCAATGACCCATCCGTACCGGCCCTATTATCCGATCCGAACTTTTGCTTACCACCTAACCTATCTACCACCTCTTCGATGTGTGACTTGGTGACTACTATGTGTTCGGGGGATTGATTCCACGCGTGTCTGTGGGAGTTGGTGGTGTGGGCAGCGTGTGGTTGGGGTTCGATTGGGCTGTCGAACAGATAGACTCTCTCTGATCCGTACGTTAGTGTAGGACGACGCCCCACGTCCATGACTATATCAGTCAAACCTAATGAGATGGGCAGGTGGCATGTAGATAGGCCATTGAAGATTAGTATGTCAGTGAATAGAATAATCATGCATCTGAAATAGGTCAGCGTGGCGAAATTGATAATATATATATATATATATATATATATAATCCTTAACTACGCAGGCGTGGCTCTCGACCTACCTTTCCAGGTGTTTGGGTCAATTAACGGTCGTAGGTAGGCCTCGGGAAGTAGTTGCAGAAGGGTCTTCACGTCATCGTCATTGATGGTAACATATGGATCGACGGCTATATTGTTAGGGTGTCTATGAAGTATCGGAGAAGAGAGGAATATGAAGCTGAGTGTCGGTGGAGTATAAGGGATGCATTTACTAGAGGCTGAATGTCTAAGTATATCGGGAGTCTCATGTAATAGATATATCCTTATACGAGCACTCACGTGCTACTTACATGTATATATCATGGTTGCTATGCATACTAAGATGTTAGAACGCTTGCAGTAAACATCGTAAGCCCCTCCGCAACACGCACAGCTCACACACACGCGCGTATTGTAAGTACACACACACACACGGATGTCCCACACGCTACTACAACAGTTGTGAAGGGCGTCTGTACGAGCCAGTGTATACCAACTAAAACGTACACAATACGATAGGGAATAATAGCACCGATAAATAACACACACTTTTCACAACACGATAGAACATAGTAGCATCAACAGCATCGACAAGTAACTTGATCTCAAAAACGCAGCGAGCTATCGTGTGTATACGCATTTGGTCACAACACGATAGAGCATAGGATTTACACCCACACACAAACACACACACATATATGCAAACACACACAAACACGCCCACACACAAACACACATACAAACACCCACACACAAGCACACACATACACAAAAAAAATTGCACATACAAACAGACACACAAACACACACATAAAAACACACACACATACAAAGCACATACAAAACATAGCAACAGAGTGTCTCGTGTGTGGTATGCGATAGGGCTTACTGCACTTACACGTTACTACGTAC